GGTTTCCGTTCTCTAACTTTAGTTTGCCTCAACCAAATGTTATGAAACTTATACACAATGCTTATTACCACAAAACACAGATCAAGAATGAACTTGGGTAGCATCACTTTTACCATTTTTGAGTTATGTCCCTTTATAATGTTTCACAACAGTTAAGTTAAGTTAAGAACCTTATGTCATGGGAACAATGTGCTGGCAAGATTTATTTTAATTCTGTTATTCAGATAAGATCTTGCATTTTTAGAACAGATAAATAAAAATAACACTTATCAATGAATTGATTATGACCTTAAAAGGTGAAGTTATGATAAAACTTATTTGACAAGCTGCAAAGGTCAAGTTCTCTACATACTGGTAGAGTTTTCTGTCAGATGACAGTATTTGCAGTTGCTTAGGAATAGGATTGACACCTTCTGAAAGACACAAGCCATTTGGAGTTGTTTAGGAATAGGGTTGATGCCCTCTGAAAGACACGAGCCAAAAGTGAACTTATTAATAAAGTTTAATGTTCATTTACAGTTTGATACTATAGCCTCTGGAGTAATTGTGGGACTTGGTGGAGCAAAAAACAAAGACACCAGTCCTAAGTCAAAGAGTAAAGTTGAAGCACCTGCTGCACCCCCACGTAAACGAGACCCAGGGGCAAAAACAGAAGCCATTAAAAGTAAGTTTACACTCATGTTAGCTTTTTTTTAATTTTTGAAGAAAAAAATCAGTATTGGCAGCAATGTCATTTGAAATTCTTGACATTGTCATTTGTGCCACTGGACATTAAACAAGCAACAGTCTTGTCATTTGTGCCACAGGACATTAAACAAGCAATAGTCTTGTCATTTGTGCCACTGGACATTAAACAAGCAACAGTCTTGTCATTTGTGCCACTGGACATTAAACAAGCAACAGTCTTGTCATTTGAAATCTTAGAAATACAAAATTAGAAAATTGGACTTCTGACATGATAACATGCATTATTGATGATTGCAGAGTATATTTATGAGTGACAAAGTTCTCAAGATGTTTACACAATGTTTGCTGTTTTGAAAATAAAAAAAATAGATTTCCAGATCTTTTACATTTATATTCAAATTTGATTTTTGAGTGCTGTTTTGAATACACATGCATACACAATTTTTACAATCATAATGCATAAAAAGAATGTATATTTACACATGTTATAATCTAAGATATAATGATATTTTGTTATAGGTCAACCAGATGGAATGTATTCCAAAACTAAGGCTAATCCAAAAAGCTTACCTGATGATTCAAAAAATGGAAAGACAGGTACGTATTAATGTTTAGGGGCCAGCTGAAGCCCACCTCTGGGTGCCGGATTGTTTTGCTACATTGAAGGCTTAAGGCTGTTATCTGCGCTTTGGTTATGTTGTCTTATTGACACATTCTTTATTCTATGTTACACAATTCAGTTAAATATGCAATGTTGGTTGTTATATGGTGAAGTTTTCATCATTTCTATTACAAATTTATTGACATGAAGATATATTCCTGCAACTCTTAAGGTGGTACCTAACACTACAGGGAGATAACTCTGTAAAAATCAGCTAAACGTTTTAATCACGTTGTATTGTTAAGGAAATATTATGCTTCTCAATGATGAAATTTAGTGTTTGTCAACTGCTGTATATCCTATGAAATTTTTCTGAGAAAGTGTGTGGTTCAAGGATTTTGAAATTTTTATATTTTTGTCAAAGGATCAAAGTAAATATTTTGTCAAAATTTTATGAAAGTCAAACGAGCCAAATTTATTTTAGTCAAGGTGTTTGGTACCACCTTAAGTAAATATTTAATCTATGAAGGTAATTTAAGTTAAAAACTGATTTATAATTCTAGATTTGATTACTTTTTTAACACATTGTCTTTCAGGTTTTTTTTTACTTTTGAATATCCCAATTAAATTTGTACAAGTGTCTCGGTTATAGCACTTGTTTAAAAGAAACAATGGAATATCCTTTAAGAAGTAAATAAAGCTAGCAGCTGTATATAAAATTTTTCCTCTTTCAAGAATTTCTTATATAGAACTGCTGAAAAGGAAATATTATTGTTTTCAACAAAAGACTCTATTGGAAATTATAGGATTTAAATTTAAGTTAATTTATTGTCAATTTGATTAATTATATGATTGTATTTTTTAGGTCCATTTGCTGCTCTGATGGCAAAAGCTGACAGCTTTATGAAGAAGTTTTCTCTACGTAGACTGAAAATGGGGACAATTATTGAGTTTTTAACAAAATTGGGTATGACAGACAGCCGAGCAAAGTTTGTTCAAGCTCTCAAAACTTTGCAGGTTGGTGATTATTCAAAATATTAAAATTTAAAATTTAATACAAGGATTGATATTGTTTTATCTTAATATATTTTGAGCTAGTTTGGTTGTCTAAAATTATAAAATATCGTTATATAATGTCCAGTAGCAAACACTGCAAGGAAATACATGTACATGAAATAAAAAAGATGTGAAAATACATGACATGAAAATAGATTGCATAAGAATACATGGCATGCAAATACATTGCATGAATACACATGGCATGAAAACAATTCTTACACAATCCCATAGCGTCTTGTATTAAAATTTATGATTGAGGGGAGCTAAGAAGTCCATAAAAAAGTATACCGCACCAGCAGTACTATATCAATTTCATCATGTTCATTGTTTGTACTCTATTAAAATGAAAAATGATTTCACGTCATTGATTGAAATTGTTTGCGACATTGTAAGCCAATCACAATATTTTGGTGTAGATTCTGAAACGGTGAATTATATTATAAATCTAATCAGTTGTAAAAGTTGACATGTTATTGAAATATTATGATATACAGATATAAGTAGCATCTATTTAAAAAATTGTGTAAATTCTGTTTTTTTTTGCAGTCCATAATTGACAACAAACCCTGTTTTAATCCACATGAGCTGACAGATGAACAAATCAAACAGACCTTACAGGAAAGAGGAAAACCAATCAGTGGAACTAGAGCACAAATGATTAAAAGAATTATGGACCAGGATAACCGTATGTAACAGTTGTTATACATGTCCATTACTAACTTGTTTACATATTTTGTATAAAAAAGATGTGGTATGATTGCCAATGAGACAACTCTATAAGAGACCAAATGACACAGAAATCAACAACTATAGGTCACCATACAGCCTTCAACAATGTGCAAAGTAATTCCCCAGGCACTTACATCTTTAACAAAATAGCACCAAACCTATAATGTATTTTATTCTATCTTTAAGAAAACCAAATGTAAAAATAAGATCTCAATGTAAGTGTTGATTTGACCAATTAACCCTTTTGGATTTAATTCATATTTGCAATTTTTGTCCAGCCTGCGAGCTTCTGTCGCAGAAAGCTTGACATAGAGATAGCAATGGCGGCAGCCTTAGAGGGTGGAAGACCTGGATGCTTCATACTTTATATATATACTAGAACACACAAATCGCGGGCATTTAAAAAAAAAGATTTATAACTGGAGAATTTCAGGAAAGGTACCAAAAGTCATAGGTACTTGGGGACAGGGCAATATTTTTTAAGCCCTCCCACTTTTTTCCCAAAGACCAATATTTTTTGTTTTCTGTTTTTCTGTATACTATGAACATACATATACTTTAAATACAATAAACAGTCACTGATAAATAATATATCAGTGACCACCGTGTATAATTAACTATTGGAATTGATAGTAAATAGCAAATACACTTTATTTATAGTATATGTATGATCATAGTAAACAGAAAAACGCGAAAACAATTGTCCTGTCCCCAAGTACTTATGAAAATTATGTGTAAATTTAAATCAGTCCTAAACAGAAGTCTTATAAGACTCAAAAAGTCAGTTCGATGACAGAAACCATATCCGGACGCCTTTATTTTGCTTTTTTCTTCCAAAATAACCAAAACTGAATAATCATAAGCAAGGATGATAAATGCGACTATGCATTGTACCTATAGGACACAGAGGCATGATGTTTAATTTATTGTGGAAGAAAGAGAAGCGATACACAAAATGAGGTCGTCTTATTTAATAGTATAGATGCCTTATGTTATGAAGTTTCTGTCTGTAATATGTCCATTGTCCTTGACCTCAATTTCATGGTTCAGTATATATCAGATACTATAAGCAATAGGTTTACTATATTTGGTGTATGAAATGATTGTAAGGTGTACATGTCCAACAGGCAGGTGTCATCTGACCTTGACCTCATTTTCATGGTTCAGTGGTCAAAGTAAAGTTTTTGTGTTTTTGTCTTATTTCTAATAATATATGCAATAGATCAAATATATTTGGTGTATGAAATATTTTATGATGTCAGTCTCGCAGGTTTTATTTGACCTTGACCTCATTTTCGCTATTCATTGCTCCGTGTTAAGTTTTTGTTTTGTATTGTTTTTCTTAACTTTAAGTAATAGGTCAATTATATTTATAGATTGGCAGGATTGTAAAGTGTATATGTCTGTCTGGCATGGTTCCTCTGACCTTGACCTCATTTTCATGGTTTATTGGTCAATGTTTAGTTTGCCTGGTTAAGTCTGTTTTCTTAGAAACTATAAGCAATATGTCAACTATATTTGGTGTATTGAAAGATTTTAAGGTGAACATGTGTTTCCTGTTTGGTTTATCTGACCTTGACCTTTTTTTTTTATCATGTTAAGTTTGTATGATACTTGTAGTAAAACTTTTTATTTAGGACTATCAAAATAAAATTAATGGTCAGTAAAGAAGGTAAGACATTTCAGCGTGTGAACTCTTGTTATATAATAATGGTCCTTTAATTTGAGTACTTCTATTTTTCAGAATGTCCGCTGATGGCTTTCACATTGCCAAAGAAAGTATATTGTCTCTTCTCCAGTGACTGTATGGCTGTAGAATGCTGCATGAACGTCAAAATATCCATGTTTCTCAGAGTGGTTAAAGCATATGCTAATTTTAACCCATGTACTTTTAAGTTCAGATATGGCTTTGATGTGTTTAAGGATGAAATACAGCTTCCACAAGTTGATTTTGATGGTATGTTAAAGCTGTTTATACAGAGGCAGTTTAGCCACTAATTTTGTTTTGTCACTTTACATAGATCTTTTTCATATTAAAGAGAGGTGAAATATACCAAAGGGATATTAAAACTCATAAGTCCATAACAAACTGACTATGACATGGCAAAAATAAAAAAAATGACAAAAAGATAAATATTTAAAATACACAAAACAGAGCATATAAATCTAAAGACTTAGCAACACGAACTACACCAATATCCATGGTGATTTCAGGTGCTCTGGAAAGGTGAGTAAATCCTGCTACACAAGTGTAAAAGAGATGTATGCAGTAAATCAATGAAACAACAATTCAACAACACAATAAATTCAGAAAAGTGATACAGAGGTCAACAGACACTCTGTTTTAACGATTACAAAATGTTTCCTGCATGGGAAGGGTGTTGTCTCTTTGGTTTTTTATTGCCTTCCAATGGAAATAACACTTTATTAATTGTGTTTTTCTGTATTACTTTATCATGAACACTCAGGCGTGAACATTTGAAAGCCAAAGATATATAAGTATTGAAATACATGAAGATCTATGACAAAAAGGGACCTAAAAATAGTAGCCACATCTATCTAAGGTCAACTTTGCCTGATTTGTAAGATGTGTTAGGTTTTGTATATTGCTGAAAGCCATATAGTTTGTCTTGTAGATCTTGTTATTAACTTTTTTTGTCCTTTTTGATATATGTTGGATTATTATCACATTGACAAGCATAACATGTATCTCCATTTTTACACTTCAAATAGCAAATATAATTTCAATAAACATCTCTGCGTTTTACTTTTATAGTACATTTTTCTTTCATTATATATAAGGTTTAATTTGGCTTATGCAAACAAGATTTATTTATACAGTAGTAATGTTTCCCTGGACTTTGTTGTAATTTATATATTTTCTGCCATGTTTACAGGTATGCAACACCTGGAGAGATTTAACAGAAGGTGCAGTCAATGATCCATACTTCAAACATGAGACAATGTTTTCTCTGGCAAATGTCAAAGCCTCCATTACAAATTCAGAACCCCATCTTACAGTACCCGATGTTATCTACATGTCAGAGGATGCAGGTAAAACATGGCACACAAAAATGTCTTTAGGAAAAGAAAAAAAAAACTTCAACCTTTTTGTTATAGGGGTGATTAGCTAAAACATTGAGTACTGCCCCAACCTTTTCATATATTTTGAATTAATTTAATTTTTCTAAAAGTTCTATCATAATGACATTTGATAATTAACTTGTTCTTGCATAGTTTTAAAAGTTGATAGAATATGTGTGATTTGTATGTTTTTAGGTACAATACAGTACCAATTGGAAGCTACAGATGATGAGGGAGATACGATAGAGTTCTATCTGGATGGTAGCTACACTAACTATACCATGGGAACACCAATCCTGTCTGTTGATGGAATGTAGGTTCATTTGATGATGATACTGGCAGTATAAGATTGTAAAATACAGCATTCTACCCTTGGTTGGCTTTTTATTAATGTTGCAAGTATGCTTTTCACATAAATCAAGTTGCAACACCTGTATCAAGTATATCCATTCAACAAATAATTTGTTAATCTAGATCTCTTAATGTTGAAATTAAAGTTCTAGAGATCAAAGATTTTACATATTCAAAATTATATGGTATACCACAAAATATTTTTAAAGTAATTTCATTCCTAAAATAATCAATACTTGTATTTTATTTATCTCTGTAGCAGTGCTGTACACATTTGTGAGAACTACTTGTGTATTGATTTGTTTTTTCTCTTTTCAGACTGCTGTTCACACCTTGTGAGGACTGTATGGGTATTCAGACATTCCCAGTCATTTTACAGGAAGTTCAAACTGATCCAGTTATTCCACCAAATAATGTAACAGTATGGCTGACTGTCAATGTAACAGATGTAGCAGACCCACCAACTATCTTCCTGACTTTGTTAGGAGACTCACAGCTACCATCAGATCCTACAGAACCAGTTTTGGTAAGTTATCTCCCCTCAGTAACCCAGTTTGGTTGCCATGTAACTGTAGTGCCCTTTTGTTTTGTAACAGCTCTAGAAGGGAAACCCAGTTTCTTTAAAAACGCTGCAAATCATTTATTGATTTATTTTATTCTTAATATTCTCCCTGGGAATTTTTTTTTTATTGAAAATAGTTATCTCTTTATCTGGCCTTATGTCTAAAACAAATAGGAAATAATACTATATTTTTTGGGGTCAATAGGTCAAAAGTCAAGGTCACTGTTACCAAATATAAAAAACAAATGTTAAGGGAATGTAAAATTAGTATAGAAGTTTGCAAACTGATTTATTCAGTATTTGCGCAACAGAAATTTAAATGTAAGAAAACTAAAAACGAACAGAAATATTATTTTTAGACACTTGAAATAGAACATTATAAATTAAGAATACTCCTTAAATTTGTTCTGTTTAAATGCAAAAAAACTTCTCTTTTAGCAAAAGTGAAAATCAGTACTTTTACTTGGTCTGTTCATTGCTTTGATGTATTAAAATTATTTAGTTAGACTTAGATATTGACCTAATGACAGAGCTTATCATTGTACTTTAAAAAGAGAGGTGAAAGGTCCCAAAGTGACATTCAAACTCATTAGTCGAACACAAACTGACAATTCCTTGGCAAAAAACTAAAAACGATCAAAGACAAACAACAGTATACAAAACATACCATAGAAAACTAAAGACTGAGCAACAGGAACTCCACCAAAAACTAGGGGTGATATCAGGTTCTCCGAAAAGTTAAGAAGATCCTACTCAACATGTGACACCAGTGGTGTTGCTCATGTAAGTACAAATCTGGTGATACGTCTAATTTGGTAGGTCACATTAATGGGGACATGACTGTTTTTAAAGTATTAATTAAATCTGATTCATCAACTACAGGTTTATCTGGAACAAAAGAATGATTGGAATGAGCATATCTGGTCACCTTCCTGGTATGGTTTACTAGGAGCTTATGATGTAGAGATAGGTGGTACACTACAGCTTAATGTCCAGGAACCAGTTGGTGGAGTTATGAATATAACAGACAATTCTACAAGTATACCCACCATTGCTAATCCATGTCCAAACGTAACAAAAAGAACTGTAAGTTCATTTCAGTAGAGATTAGAAAAATGTTGGAACTCTTAATTATTTACATGAATTCTCAGTCATTAAAAACTAAACTCAAAATCTTGCTGATTTTTAAGGCTTTTTATATCAAGATTTTTTGTGAAACACAGACCATCAAATTTTACATTACAACACATTTTTACCTGTATAAAAAGATTTTATGAAGAAAAAAAAGTTCCAATACTAGTTTGCTTATGCTTTGATTAAATGATTATATATATATGGAATCCATCCCAGTATACATATGTATGGAATCCATCCCAGTATACATATGTATGGAATCCATCCCAGTATACATATGTATGGAATCCATCCCAGTATACATATGTTTGGGAATCCCCCCATTATACAAATGTATGGAATCCATCCCAGTATACATATGTTTGGGAATCCACCCCAGTATACATATGTTTGGGAATCCATCCCAGTATACATATGTTTGGAATCCATCCCAGTATACATATGTATGGACTCCATTCCAGTATACATATGTTTGGAATCCACCCTAGTATACATATGTTTGGAATCCATCCCAGTATTCATATGTTTGGAATCCATTCAAAATGTTTGACCTATTACAAGTTTTTGTGATTATATCAGTTTTAATGTTGGCTCAAACTTGTTGATTGATAATAAATTATTCAGTTTTCTTGGAAATTTCAAATATTTATACATAGAACAATGAATTGACTGTGCTTTTATTTCAGTTGTCAAATACTCAAATACTGTAAATTCAGAAATGTTTGCGACATTTTTATCAGTGTGAAAATTATAATGGTATAGGTGTCACTAAGATAAAGTCTTGCATTTTTAGTTTTGATAGTATAATTTGTACGAAGCATTTCTTGACATAGCAAGGATTGACCTCCAATTTGTTTCCATTGTTCTCTATAATGGAAATAATAAATTCATGCAAAAAAAAATGAATTTATAGTGTATAAATGTATGCATAATGAATTGATCATTAGGGAGACGAATTTATATAAGAGCACTGCTCTTGTTTCTTAATCCCAATTATTGAATCATTTGTATATTTAGTATTTATGTCTTTACTCTTGTAGCTATACATAACGATTTCTTTAATAAAATATGTTTACACTAAATTGATCATATTTCTAATTTACAGGATGATTTGATGTTCCCATGTGATCTTTCACTGTTGAAGCCAGTAAACGAACATGAATGGAACTACATGACATTGACATACATACAGAATTATTCCTTCTCCGGCTATGATGAGGCTAAAGTCTACTTCTCAGATGTTAATGGTGCCTTATCACGTCTAGTCACCATACAATTCACTGTGATGGAGTCACCATGTCGCAATGAAGGAGAATGTGAACGTAGGTTTGCCAAAATATTTATGTGAAAGAAAAATGTGGGAATTCAATGGATTCTGATTTCTACCAGTAAAAAATTGTTATTATTATTAGTTGAACACCTACTGTAAATATTATATGATAAAGTTTTAAATAATTTCAAAAGACAGTTCTTTTAAATTTAATTTTCTTAAATCCATTTAGGGCATATTATTGAACATGTTTGTTTCTGTATGACAAATGCAAATGTTTATGTTTTCAGCAAAGAACAACAGTATATCCTATCCATGTGAACACTACCGTAGGGCTTCAGAAAGTTTTGATATCAATTACAACTGTATATGTGCTTCAGGTTGGACTGGTATCCATTGTGAAGAAGATATCAACGAGTGTATTAGCTCCCCTTGTCCAGACCCATTTATATGTTATGACTACCTCAATCGTTACGAGTGCGCTTGTCCCCAAGATAATCCAATTTGTTTGTTTTTGCTGCCATGGATGATTGCTTTGATCCTCATTGGTGTGTTACTTATTGTTGGGATTGTACTGTTGATAGTTTACAGATGGAAGAGAAGAGAGTAAGTGTTGTCTATTTATAGTTCGTTGGAGTTATCTCCCATTATTTGATTGTGGTTTCATTTAGTTTGTATAGAAATGTTTATTCCACTACCAGTGATAGCAACATCTATAGTAAAGAGAATCTATTTTTTGGCATTCTTTCTATTACTGTTACATGCATATGGCATATGAGCTTAGTATTTCCAGAAATATTAGAAAAATTACAAATTTTTTAAGGGAAACAATAAAGTACATTCATTTCTCAAAATTATATTTTCAAAAGAATAGTATGTTTTTCATTGCTGTTGATATTTTTGGGCAAAAGCTGTTTAGTGAAACTATTGATTAGATCAGTGAAATGATGACAAAAGCTATGTTCGTGGTTCTGTTGATTTGACAATGTAAACATAAAATACTGATGTCACAGTTAAAACAAACATCAATACAAAATGATTAAATAATTTTCTTGAAATTTAAATGTATGACCTTCCAATTATTATTTTAAGGTTTATATTGTGCTATTTAAAGTTATTATATAGAGAATATTATATGGCTTTTTCAATATCACCCCTGTATCAACCGGAGACACAAATATAATCCAAATGCTCTGCTTGAGGGATTATATTGATAAAGAGTTGTAACAGTGTGTGATATTCAAAGAGCCATATCATATACACTATATTATTCATCTAAAACTGTTCTTTCTTCTAAATTTAATTTTCAAAGTAACAAAATAAGGGAGACAACTTAACAAAAAATAAACCCAGCAAACTCAATAGTGTCATATACACTTTACAAATATCTAATCATCTTTTTTATTGAGAAGTATTTACTAATTATACATTGTGTGCATATGCCTGTGATGGCTTACACTTAATAAATGATACCAAAATTAACTTTCAGGAGCCACATACCATGGATTGAGAAGTACATCTTATGTCAAAGTGAAGACACAACCAACTCATGTGGATTTCAAGCCTCTCTTGCAGATTTCATGGATGATTCTGATCTAATGTCAGCTGACAACCCTTCATTTGGTATGTGTATTATATGTGTAAAAAGTGCTCAGTATTTGGTTTATTGAAAAACAAATTAATGTAACATTTGCATAATTTTTTTAGGATTTCCTTTGATATAGCGTGAACAATATTAAAAATGAGACATGATCTCTCAAAGATTTTCTAAAAGCTGGATATGGTGTGACAAGTATACAAAGTTTATTGTATATTTTATGGTGAATATGTGGAATCATGGATTTTTTTTTCATTTTATCATATTTGTTATATTACTTCTCTGTTTACAATTTCCAAATTTTGATTCAACATTAAAAAATATTAATAGTATGCTATAATGATTGGTAGTCACAAATAAACTCATCTAGAATTTTAATTTTCTTTGTTTCATGCAGTTCTTCAGAAGCAAATAGATTTATAATAAGTATCTTCAGTGGAACTTTTAAAGTGCTTTTGTAATATAGTTTATTTAAATTTAAAAAAATTTTTTTTGCAGATTTTAACAATCCAGATAAAATGGTAAGTCATTGTTTTGTTTTTGTTTGTTTATAAATATTTTTTTAAAACGCCTGTATTTTGAGAGATTTTACCATATTTTAGCAATATCTATTGACAAGGTGCCATAAGTATAAGTAAAAGTAGGTTTATGGAAGTCTTCTCTCCAGGCTAAATAGATTTTTTTACAATAAGGTGTTTTGGCCACTAGCCATCTTCAGTTCTCTATTATTTTTCTAAACTACATGTTATACAAGTCACTTTTCATAATGCATTCAGATGTGCAAGTCACTTTTCATAATGCATTCAGATGTGCAAGTCACTTTTCATAATGCATTCAGATGTGCAAGTCACTTTTCATAAAGCATTCAGATGTGCAAGTCACTTTTCAAAATGCATTCAGATGTGCAAGTCACTTTACAAAATGCATTCAGATGTGGAAGTCACTTTTCATAATGCATTGAGATGTGGAAGTCACTTTTCATAATACATTGAGATGTATAACATCTAAATGCATTATGAAAAATTGACTTATCTACTTTATAGGCTAGAAAGATAATAGAGAAACTTAAGATGGTCAGAGGCCAAAAGTCTTTAAAATGATTTAATAACTGCAGTTATGTAAAATATGTTCCCTATTGGAATTTCTACACGATGAATAGATATTATTATGGAATGTTTTATGAATGTGGTGCTACAATTTAATTCCCTTGGTGTCATATGAAAAATACTAAGAACACTGTAGTAGGGTAATCAATTAGACAGCAACCCAATATACAAAAATATATAGAGATCAACAACACACAAGTGACTCTACACTACATCAAGATCTTAATCACCCTGCGCCGAGAGCACAAGATGAGAATGAATTTAATTTGAAAGATGCTACCAAAGGTCTACTATCAACAGTGATGAAAGTTTTCCGCGGATTTCTACTTTTTGAGTTCTGTTTTTTACATCATTTTTACTTTGTTTACCATATTATGACTGCCGGGAACGCCATTTCCGCTTTTTTGTTGGAGACCAATTTCATCCCTGTATCAAAAACCTAATTCCTTATAATACAACCAAAAAATAGTCATACATGAAAAAAACAATCACTGAAGATGTTCTAAAATGTGAAACTCAATATATTGCATCGTTCACATAGTTTTTCAAGCACTTCTCCCCCTTTTTCATCTCAATCTGCGAAATATCAAGATACATAGATAAATAGTCAATCAATTAGACTAACTATTCCCCCTCTTTAAAAAAGTGGGGGTATACTGTTTTTTATTATACCCCCCGCTTTAATTGTTAATACCCCGCTTTAAAAAAGTGGGGGTATACTGTTTTACCTCTGTCTGTTCATCCATCCATCCGTCAGTCTATCCAAGAGATTTGAAGGACAATTCTTGCACTAGATCACTTTATAGATATCATACCCATAGATAAAAGTATTGAATTCAAACTGCAACATCAAAAAGTGTTTTGGCACACTGTATTGTGAAAGGGCAAAGCTTCTGGCATCAGCACAGTAATAAGTTTCTTTTTTTGACAAATGGAAGAATGTATAATAATGATTTATGATAAAGTTGTCAGTTTTATATGCTTTAATAGGTTTGTTTCCTATTCTGACATCGGACTCGGACTTCTCTTAAACTGAGTTTTACTGTGCGTACTGTTGTATGTTTGTTTTTTCTACATTGGCTAGAGGTATAGGGGGAGGGTTGAGATCTCAAAAAACATGTTTAACCCCGCCGCATTTTTGCGCCTGTCTCAAGTCAGGAGCCTCTGGCCTTTGTTAGTCTTGTATCATTTTTAATTTTAGTTTCTTGTGTATAATTTGGAGATTAGTATGACGTCCATTATCACTGAACTAGTATACATATTTGTTTAGGGGCCAGCTGAAGGACGCCTCCGGGTGCGGGAGTTTCTCGCTGCATTGAAGACCCATTGGTGGCCTTCGGCTGTTGTCTGCTCTATGGTCGAGTTGTTGTCTCTTTGACACATTCGCCATTTCCATTCTCAATTTTATTTCTTCAATCTTTCACAATTGCTTAGGAGTGATAGTCAATGAATCACTCTGCTGGCACTTTTGTTATTAAGATTTATGTGATTTATTTGTTAAACATGAATCTTTTGTAATAATGTTGAATGTGTGTAACTTTAGTGTAGTATGAGAACTTTTCACATGAACTGATCTTAAGGATAAGTAGGGTTTTTGACATTCTTAAGATTAAAGATGATTGATGTATAAGGCTTGTATCAAAGATCTATTTTGTATTCATAATTATTTCATTTGAGTTGTAAATCTTTATATACTGCTTAATCTCTGCAACAAAAAATTAGAAATATTAATTTTCCATTTCAGGAATTTCCTCCAAGAGGTGATTTGAACATTGAGAAACGTCATAAGATGTCTTCATTTGATCCTCTGATAGCAAGTTCCGGCCCTAAAATTGCACCACATCCATTTGAAGTTGTTGATTCCAATCTGTCAGCAGACCTAAATGCCATGTCAAATAATGGAACTAAACCAGAGTCCTCAGGATCTGGCACTTCCACACCACAAGAAAAGGCCAAGAAAGTTGTCCAATGGGCTCCATCTGTATCCAGTGGATCACCAGTGCCATCAGGTCAAAATACACCTCCCTCTAATAGATCTGAGGATGGTCGGTCATCCGGAAGTAAATCTCCATATCGTGTCAGTGACAGTCAGACGTCCACGGCAGACCCTGGAAAAATATCATTGTATGATGGAACAATGACACCAATACTGTGAGGACTTTGATCACAACCGATTCACATAAATGGACAATGGAAATTGAACATGGACACATATTATTTATTTATTATTATTCAAATTAATTTTATTTTAATATGCATGTACAACAGCAAAATTTTCATATGCATGAACTACAGCAAAATATAATTTTACAAAGATATATTTTTATATAATTTTAATTTATTTTTCATGTGTGGATCAGAATTAGATCAATGGACTATGTGATACATTTTATAAGTATTTTATAAACTACTGTGATCAATTTTATACTTTTTAGTATAAATTAAACTTTACTATTTTTCTGACCTTGCCTAATAAACTTTAAAAAAATCTATCTTATATTTTTATTTCCTCATGATGGCAAATTTAAATGACATCTGAATAAATGTTGTGACCACTAGTTTAAAAAAAATGATAAATAAATTAAAAGAAAGTAGATGTGGTGTGATTGGAGACAACTATTCATAAAGATTAAAAGACAAAGATGTGAACAATTACATGTCACCATGGCCTTCCAACAATGAGCAAAATCCATTCCAAATAGTAAAAAATGTGGAACAATTTAAAAGAGAAACCAAAATGCCTGATTTATAAGACAAAAAAAAGAAAAAATAATTAAGGGAGATAGCAACCAACAATAACTACTGGTTTATATACTCCTGATTTTTGATAGGCACATGGCGGTGACGAAAAAATTTGTATTATTACAAAAAAAGCGAAAAAAAATTATAGCAGATAGCAACTGAATCAACCACTGGTTTATCGGGTCCTGGCTTTGGACTTGCACATAAAGAATGTGGAGGGGTTTAACATATTTGTGAACACTCAACCCTCCAAAACTAATCTTGGACAGTGGTGTAAAAACACTGTCACAACCTCATTATAGCCACATTATATTATATTTCATACTAATCAAACTCTGCTATTGCAACATTGGTATAATCATAACAACTGAAGAAAGTCAATTTATTTAGCTTGATTTGGGAAACCACAAAAAAGATCACCAATTAAACAAGCCAAAGTAGATAATACTGTAAATTCAGAAATTTTTCCTGCATTTATTATAGTTGTTGAATAAAAGACACAAATGTGAGATCAATTACTGCGATTTCGGGAAATGCTCAAACAAATAATGGTATGAAAATCCAAATTTTGAGTATTCATTATTGTTACACCTATCCCTTCACAACTTTTGCAATAATGAAAAAATAGAAAAAAAAATCTGAAATTACAGTATTTAATTATGGATATAAGCATACGTAAATATGATTAGGAAAGCATTCAGCTTAATTAAATGACCATTAAGTCCAGACTGATAATGCAAAACTAATTTAAAACCTGTTATTTGTCAATGTATAAATGAGTAAACTTTAATGAGTCTTGGCTCTAATTCCCAGCTCTGATGACATTTTATCCAGTAGCCCATGTTTCCTGTTCTAGACTGGTTTATTTCACTTTTTTCAGGTGATTATGATCTTACTCAAAGGACCAGTGTGAACTATTCTCATCACTTGGCATTTGTTCACTGTTTGTAGGCTTATCTTTAAATCTTACCTCTGATACCACCAAACAAAATAAAACCAAACTGGGTAACAATCATTTTAAGGTGTTTAGTTTTAGATTTATACATGTGTTCTGTCAATAAACCAACATGAGTGCCATTATTATAAATAAAACACAATAGAATTTCAAATGATTGTCCAATATTTTGAACACCATTACAAATAAAGAAAATATGACAGGATAAAAATTGCAAGAATGTCAAAATCTGCCTCCTTACAAACAAACATAAATTATACCAGTCCTCCAGGAGTTGGAGCTATATTGAAGTCACCATGTCTATTCTTTTTGCCCTACAAATATTTTCAACACTTTTCATTGGTACTACTGAACAGAATGACTTCATATTTGGTCAGCATCTTGATAGGGATGACCTGTAGCTTGTGATACCTTCCATAATTGCTGATGCTTTTAATTTTTAAATATGTTGAATGGACTTATTATTTTTGTAACAAATTTCTCCAGTACTACTGAACAAAATGACTTCATATTTTTTCAACTTGACAGTAATAAGTTGTATGTTTAAGCATTGTTCAAGGCACCTATTTTCTGTTTACTAATACGTTGAATTTTTGGCAGTTTTTGATAACACTTTGAAAAAATAACTGATACAGAGCTGAGACTGTTATTTTATAATTCCATAAATAGACTTGAACATTCTTGTAGAATTAAACAATAAATTGATTTTTATTGTTTCGAAGCTACTCACATACTTTCTATCTACACTACATAAAGTTATGATGAAAATTCGCAATAATTTCTGAATTTACAGTAAAATAAAAGAATGCAAGTGAGATCTATTTAACTTGTAAAATAGTGATGTATTGATTTGTAATTAATAATTGAGTCACTATTATCAGCGATTCACCCGAGGCAATAAGCAAAATTACATAATTTGTACTTGTTACCTACACTCTTAAAGGGGCACTAGCTACGAAAAATATAAAAAAAACTAATATATTATTTTTTTTGCTCAATCATTAATGAAATGCAAATAGTGAAATAATAATTCGCTTTTAGCAACCAGTATGGTTCAATTTTTTCAAAATAAACTAAAAAACATTGATTATGAATTTTTCACTTGCAAGTGAATAATTCGACCTCATTGAATCCGTATTCATGTGAACTTCAATTTAACCCCTTAGCTTTAGATGGATAACACGTGAATTGTATGTGTAAAGTTATTTAAAGAAACAGAATGTCAACATTGAAAGTGAAACAAAGGTAAATCATTTGATTGACTGATTCGATCCACAAAATATCATTCTTATACATGTAAATACGATGATAAACATTTATTTTCCATCTATAATATGAAATTAAATAGACCTAGAAAAATCCAACAGCACGAGTTTGCTTAATCTATTTATATCTATATTTATGTTTACATCGCTTATATGGTCATCGGACGACTTTAGAGGTCAACTCGATAGTTAATTAGAAGGCGTCTTGACTAAAATACACACGAAACGAAGTTACGTATGTTCATGCCCGTGCCCTGTTTATTGTTTATTTCAGACCTTTGATAGTTTGGATAAATGTTTTACATTGTTATAAATCAAATATGAGAAATTGATTAAAATCGGTGAAAATGAATTTGACAGCTAGTGCCCCTTTAACAATGCAATAAAATTGATAAATGATTATTCCCCATTTTATTGTCTTTAATAGTACATAATACGTTTTTGTATATTAAGGTACAGAAAATTTATGTTTATAATAAAGAATAAACCCCATTTAAATAAAATGAGATGTGTCACGGAGTTAAAAACATTAATATCAAATGATGGCTGTGTGTCGAGTGACATCGTTTTGGTATCCAAATAAGTATATAAAGAAAAAAAACATTTTGCACACGTTTCGATATTTGATATGATAGTCACTTTAATTTTCTCTTTGAAGAATATAATCGGACACATATACACTTAAATGAAATGATTATCCGCATTAAACATGAATTATAACTGGAAAATAATATATTCCCAGATTATATATATTAAAGAGGAATAACTTTTGAAAAATAAAATTAGAATCGGGTATTGTTGAAAATATCAAGAATTCAAATGAGAACGACTAGATGTATTTACCTTAGTTTATTTGGTGTAGTCAAATATATCTTAGATAATTTAAATTATCTGCTGTAGTCAAATATATCTTAGATAATTTACATTAGTTGGTGTAGTCAAATATATCTTAGATAATTTACATTATCCGGTGCAGTCAAATATATCTTAGATAATTTATATTATCTGGTGTAGTCAAATATATCTTAGATAATTTACATTATCAGGTGCAGTGAAATATATCTTAGATAATTTACATTATCTGGTGTAGTCAAATATATCTTAGATAATTTACATTATGTGGTGTAGTCAAATATATCTTTGATAATTTACATTATCTGGTGCAGTCAAATATATCTTATATGATTTACATATCAATCTAACAGTTGAGAAGGAAGTTTAAAGCCCAATCAGTCAAAATGGCGATTGCGCCAGACAAAGTAGATAATTTTGATGATTTATTGACTTGTAAAACCAAGCTATTTACTATGTCTCCACACTTTCTGCACGGCATGCATTAACACTTACATTCTATCGAACGTGGGGAAATAGAAAACTAAGACGATGTTTAAGTGTCCGATTTGTCGACAGCAGAGTCGACAGGTAACCCGGAGGCCTGGGCTGAAAAATTACCAGGTAATCATTTTGTTGCTTCAATGATGGATCGACAAGCAATAAGAAGAAGCGTTAAAATATGCGACTCTTGTAAAGCGAACAATTAATCGAAAAATGCGTTATCTTTGTGTATAATATGCGAAGAGGCGTTTTGTGAATCTTGTGAAAAATGTCATAAATCGTTTAAGATGTCAGCAAAACACCCGATCTTGTAACTAACCAAGAAACTCCAAATATTTCGTAGTTGATATATTGCGAAAAACATCCAGGTGAGGTAGTGAAGGCTTACTGTGTTGATTCTGTGATTATTTTACTAACGTTAATATATTATGTTCCAGGTTGATCATTCTGAACCATTATGTACATTTATCGTATAGGAAATGCGAAGTTGTCATAACAGTCGAGATGGCGTCCTCAGGTATAAAAAAAATCAGAAAAAGCAATGAAATGGTCAACAAAACTAAAAGAAAACAGCAAACAGCTGTCCGATTTAATACAAAACAGGAAAGACCTAACGACCGATTTCGAAAAAGACACTGAAGCTATTCTAACTGAAGTCAGTACCATAAAGGATAACATTGTTCAACATTTAAACAAAATTGAAAGCCAAGATAAAGAAGAAATAAACACATTGAAGAAGGAAGCAGGTCTGAAACTTTTCGAACAGTCAACAGAACTTGAGAGTCTGAAGAGTACGGTTGATAACTGGACTGCTGTATTTGATACCTGTTTTTTTTTCAACATGGATCCGAAGTGCAGTGTTTACTGGGAATGAATAGAATTAACGAAAATAAGGTTAAATTTGGCGATGTATTTACAAAAGATATAAGCAAAATGAAGAATATTTCCATACTTCTAGAGACTAATGATATAGCATTAATCTAGAATTATTGGTGCATACTTGTACATAATCTAGGTTATATATTAAAAGAAATAATATAGTGCATATATACTTCGTTGCTTATTTTATTCTTCCTAAAGTTAATTTTTTTTATAAAGAGCTGAATGTATTGTGGGGTGTATTGACTTTTATTCCGACTGTTTTTCAGTGTTTAAGAGGGG